CCTAATTTTTTATTATGTATGTAGATTGGTGACGAAGTTTTATTTTTCTCTCTAAAAATGGCACATTTGGAGACAAAATATTATTTTCTTCACTAAAGGGTAAGTCTTTCGTGACAAAATTTATTTTCGTCATTAGTTTTCATCTCCAAAGACACTTTTTGTTGTAGTGGATAGATAGATAGAGATACAGATTGATACGAAGACTGATAAAAAAAAAAACAAAAAAAGAAAAAAAAATGAGGGAAAAATAAACTGATCCAAAAAAAAAAGGAGGGAAAAATAATTTAGGAAAATTGATCCAAAAAAAAAAAGGAGGGAAAAATAATAGACTATTTTTTTTCATCACTGCTTAATATGTTAAAATTCTTCTTTCAAAATTAGTGACAAAACAATTTTCTCACTAAAAGGCCTAAAAATATTAAAAATTATTGGTGACGAAAATATATATCTCACCAAATGGTTTTAAAATATTTAAAAGCAAATTTTTCAAAAAAAAAAAATTTATTGGTGACGCGAATATATTCTTCATTATTAATTTTTTAATTGTTGAAAAAAAAATCTCACCAAAAGTTTCTGGATGAAAATTTATTACTCATTAATAATTTTTTAATTTGTGAAAAAAAAATTCTCACCAAAAGTTTCAAAATTTTGGCACCATCAAAAAAAATTAGTGGGAAAAATTTAGGTGACGAAACTTATTTTTTTTCTCACCTAAAAGTAAGTATTTATTGACGGAAATAAATTTCATCTCCTATTATTTTTATATTCTTATTATACGTGACAAAATTTATAATTCCTCATGGATTATTCTTATTTAGTGACGAAATTTGTTTTCTTCACTAATTTTCGTCACCATACCAATACAGAGAATAAGAGAAAGAGATACCAGAAAAAGAACAAAGAGAAATCAAGTACCAAATCACCGAGCAAAGAAGATGTGGCAGTTACCGGCAAGGCTACTAGTGGCGGCGACGATTGGCAAGGCTAATAGAGGCGACGATGGTGATCGGCGTAGTGGAGGAGCAAGAGATAAGACAAATTAATACCCTATTTTGAGAGAGAGAGAGAGAGAGATGATAAACAGAAAAGGGGTAAAAAAAATTAATACCCTATTTTTTCTTAATTGCTGCTCAATATATCAAAAATTTTCCACCAAAATTGGTGACAATATTATTTCCTCACCAAAAGATATCAAAAATATTAAAACGTTTTGGTGACGAAAATATATTCCTCACAAATAATTTTATAATTAGTGACAAAATTTTTTCTCACCAAAAGTCTCAAAATTTTGGCGCCACCCAAAAAAAATAGCGGGAAAATTTTTGGTGACGAAACTTAATTTTTCCTCACTTAAAATGAAGTATTTATTGACGAAAATAAATTTTGTCACCTATCATTTTTATTTTTTTATTATATGTGACAAAATTTATAAATTCCTCACAAATTATTTTCATTTAGTGACGAATTTTATTTTCTTCACTAGTTTTCGTCACCATAGGTTACTTTTGTTGTAGTGGAGGTTCCTGATCTGTTCATGCTGAGGCTGCTTGGGGAGTTTTAGATTTCCCCTTTTTGTTTATGATCTGTATAGACTGAATGTTACTGTACTGTACTGTTCTAGTATGGATTAAGTCCCTGTCTTGAAAGATTGTATATATCGTACATACTGTTTTGTTTCAGAATGTGAATCTATGTGAAGAGTCTTTTTGCATACAGACTGTCACACCTCATTGGATATTGTCTATTTATTGTTTTGGCTTCCGCCATACCCCTGTACTCTGTATTATTGCTTGACTGTTAAGCAGGCCTTCGGCAATCTTGGATTACTGGCCGGTTACGGTGCTAAACCCATAAGGGCGGGTTTGGGTCGTGACACCCGCACCTCTACAGTTTGGAGAAAAGTCAAACCGCAACCGCCTGTAGTGCGGTTTACGGTTTGTACGGATAGGGTTTGCGGATGTGCGCGCAGTTTACGGTTTGAATTTTTTCCTTTAAAAATTAGTTTTTGAATTTTTTTTCCCCATTTTGTAAATATTTATTTTATTTCATTTTCGTCCAATTTTCTAAAATGCTTCAGCATTAATAATTAAATCATTAAAACTTACAAATCATTCAAAACCAATTTTCTAAAATGCTTCAAAATCAATTCCTAACACAAACAAATAATAAAATCCTAAAATCATTCAAAATCCTAAAATCATTCAAAATTAATCTACTACCCAACAATACAATTAAAGTAAAATCATTTACAATCCTAAGGTAAATCATCAATCTCATTCTTCAACTACTTTCTCAACATTCTTCATCTACTACTACTACTACTACCCAATAATACAAAATTAAAATAAAATCATTCAAAATCCTAAGCTTAACTATTACATTCATCCAAAATTAAAATAAAATCATTCAAACTTCATTAACTATTATATTCATCCAAAATGCAAGAAAAATAAAATAAAATAAAATTGTTGTCAAATAAAATAAAAACACTTGCAACGCAATATCTCAAAACTCTATCATCATGAATCACATCCAAGTTCTAAAAATTTCAATTCCATGCATTTGGTTGATGAACCCTACACAAAAATAAACTGAAAAATAAAAAAAATTAATCTTCAATCTTCATAATTCCTTTGACAAAAAAAGTATAAAAGAATAAAATAATGAAAAATATACCAATAAGTTTTTTTTCGTAATGAAAAATATGCAATCACCATTGAAACAAATCACCAACCACCTAATGACACATCCATTAAGCTTTTTTTTGTCTTTTTTTCTTCCCCAACAATTCTCTTTTTACTTCAGTGGCAAAGCAACTAAACGTGATATTTCAGAATATCATTATAGTACAGATAAAATAAAATAAAAAAACTAAGGTTGATTCATGCTTATTATTTTGCTGAGAACACAATTACAATTTAAAATAAATAAAAACAAAAAGTGAGCCAAACATAGGATATTAGTGTGACCATTGGACCAATTAATATGTGCTAAGTTAAATGGAGACATATAATCACCAGTCAACAATTCTATAAGATCAAAAAATATACATAAGAAAATGGAAAGATATATGAAAGAGAAGAAATACAAAAGAACAGGACATATAATCTGTAAAAATGAAAATTTAATTTCATAAATTTCACTTGGAGAATGAGGTTAGTAAACAATGAAGGAACGACCACTGTAACCACCCATACATGTCTCACATATTGAATAACACATTGAATAACATAATAACATAATACATGTCTCATATGGTGCCCATTTTTATTATTCTCTTCTTTTGGGAAAAGATCAACAAGTCTTGTCTTTGGGAGTTGGTGATAATGGCCTGGTTAGTGGAAATATGTTTATTTGTTTTTGTAATTGTACCTGAAACATCTTCAAATGTAGTTTCATGTTTCGAAAATTAATATTGGCTTATGAAAATTTCATTTTATGTGTGTTTTTTGATGTGTGGGATCTGAGTTCTTAAATTTTTTTGCTTCATGGCTGATTTGCTTTACTGCCTTGTACCTTCTTTTTTTTTTTCTGCAGTTTGGAGATAAATGGATTTTGAAGAAGAAGAAAAATGTCAGGGTATTCTATTTTCACTTCTTAAGATTGTTCTTCTTCTTTCTTCTGCAAGCAGGAACCTAACAAAGAGCATCTTTAATTTATAGTGGGATATGGTAGCAGTTTCAGAGTACATGCTGCCTTAACACAGATTAACATAGATTTAACAAATAAACAAATAAAAAAAAACATTTGATTGCATACACATCTAATTGCATAAAAACATCTGATTTAACACAGATTGAACACAAATTTAACAGATTTAACACATATCTATTGCTTACACATCTGATTGCATAAAAATAAAAAATAAAGACCGGAGAGAGAGAGAGACAGACAGATCTGAAGAGCAGAGTCTTACCTGTGAGTTGTAGAGCAGAGTCGATCTTGCGAAGCACGAGAGAGTGAGATTCGAAGTAAAGCTGCGCACAGAGTTGCGATAAAAAAGCAGAGATCGATCGGTGTGATGAGAAACCAGAGGTCGATTGGTGTGATGACAAACTAGAGGTTGATCAGTGATGAGAAAGCAAAGTTGAAAGCAGAGTTGCGATCGGTGCGATGAAAACGAGAGAGAGAGAGAGAGAGACTAGAGACCGGAGAGAGAGAGAGACAGACAGATCTGAAGAGCAGAGTCTTACCTGTGAGTTGTAGAGCAGAGTCGATCTTGCGAAGCACGAGAGAGTGAGATTCGAAGTGAAGCTGCGCACAGAGTTGCGATAAAAAAGCAGAGATCGATCGGTGTGATGAGAAACCAGAGGTCGATTGGTGTGATGACAAACTAGAGGTCGATCAGTGATGAGAAAACAAAGTTGAAAGCACAGTTGCGATCGGTGTGATGAAAACGAGAGAGAGAGAGAGACTGATATGAGATGAGAGAAAAGGAGCTCTCTCCAACTGCGCCAATGTAATGTGTTTGATTGTGAGTGATTAGGGTTTTTTTTTTTTTAACTTTTGTTTGTTATACTATAGATGAAGATCAACGGTCCAGATTTTACATATAGAGATTTTTAAAAATTTTTTTGTTTAAGCAGGCGGGTTGGGCGGGTTTGATTCAAACCCGCAACCTGAAATTGAGCCATAATCCAAACCGCATCCGACCCTAACGTGTTTGCGAAACCGCCCAAAGGTCTGCGAGTCGGGTAGGGTAGGGCGGGTCGGATAACCCTATGCCCACCCCTAGGTACAATGTGTATTGTGATGCTTTCAAAGAAGGTCTGGAGTGCATATTGATGCAAAATGGCAAGGTGGTGGCATATGGATCAAGGTAATTAAAGAACCGTGAGAAGAATTATCCCACTAATGACTTGGAGTTAGCAGCTATAGTTCATGCACTCAAAATTTGGAGACACTACCTGTATGGTGAAAAGTTTGAGATATTCACCGATCACAAAAGCTTAAAGTATTTGTTCACCCAAAAGGACCTGAACATACATTAGAGACGCTGGATGGAGTATCTCAAGGATTACCAAGTTACCCTTTCCTATCATCTCGGTAAGGCTAACGTGGTGGCAGATGCGCTAAGTCGCAAGAATAGAGGGATTGTTGCTAGTTTAGCACTTAGAGAATGGAGTATGGTTGGAACACTCAATGAATTTGGGGTACAAATGGAGGCTCAAGATGAAAAAGCTTACCTTGGTGCTCAAATTGTTACGCCTAAACTTTTGAGCGAGATATTAGAATCACAAAAGTATGATCAGGAGGTAGCATTCACCAAGGCACGAATGGAATCTAATGAAACAATGCTTGGTTGGGAAATTCACACATATGAAAGTTTGAGATATCAAGGTCGAATGTTCGCGCCAAGCGACGACTCACTAAGGGAAAAGGTACTTAAGGAATTCCACCATTCAGAATTCGCAGTACATCCGAGAGGTACTAAGATGTACCAAGACTTAAAATGCCAATATTAGTAGGGCAAAATGAAAAGGGATGTAACAAAGTTTGTGTTACAGTGCCTCACATGTCAACAAGTAAAGGCTGAACACCAAAGACCGGCAGGAACACTTCAATCCTTACCAAGCCCGGACTGGAAATGAGAACACATAACCATGGATTTCGTGACTGGTTTGCCTCGATCACCACAGAGACATGACAACGTGTGGGTAGTGGTAGATCGGCTAACTAAGACAGCCTGATTCTTATTTATCGGGTCATCAGATACGTTAGATTCACTCAGCAGATTGTTCATCAGAGAAGTGATTAGATTACATGGAATACCAGCTAGCATCGTATCTGATCGTGATCCTCGATTCACTTTGCAATTTTGGCAGAGCTTGCAAAAAGCAATGGGAACAAACCTATGCTTTAGCACAGCATTTCACCCACAAACAGATGGGCAATCTGAAAAGACAATACAAACCTTAGAGGATATGCTTCGAGCTTGCATTATGGATTTTAAGGGAAGTTTGGAGAAACACCTACCTCTCATTGAGTTCGTTTACAACAATAGTTTCCATGCCAATATTGGAATGGCACCGTATGAAGCACTTTATAGATGACCTTGTCGATCACCAGTCTGTTGGACTGCAGTAGGGGAATCAACCTTGTTAGGACCAGACTATGTTCAGGAGACCACTGAGAAGATAAAACTGATCAAACAACGGCTAATCACAGCCTAAAGTCGACAAAAGAGCTATGCAGATCAAAGGAGACGACCCTTAACATTTGAGATAGATGATCATGTTTTTCTCAAAGTTTGACCTCGTCGAGGTACTTCACGATTTAGGAAGAAAGAAAAACTTACACCTCGTTAAGTGGGACCCTTCAAAATTCTAAGCAAAGTAGGAGAAGTGACATACCGTTTAGCACTATTGCCACAGCTTGCAGCGATGCACAATGTTTTTCATATCTCAATGTTACAAAAATATGAGCCACACCCTTCCCATGTTATCAACTAGGAAGAGATTGATCTCAATGAAGATGCAAGTTTTGAGGAAAGACCTATAAAGATTATGGATCGACGAGAAAAGAACCTGTAAGGCAAAGTCATCCACTTGGTGTGAGTGTTGTGGCAGCATCGAGGAGTAGAGGAGTCTACTTGGGAAAGAGAGGATGTAATGCGAGCCAACTACCCTAAGTTGTTTGAAGATAAAGATACGCGTTAAAAATTTCGATGACGAAATTATTTAAGGGGGATAGGTTGTAAAAACCTGAATTCTTAGACAACTAATTAGTTTGTTAATAACAATATTAAGTCAATTAATAGTGATTATTAAATTATTAAATTTTAATGTTAATAACATCATAATTAATACCAATATTAAACTCATTTAAATAAATTTATTTATCTTTCTATGATTAAATTTTTGTATCTAAGTACAGTTGTGGAAACTAAATGAGTAAGCAGATAATAACTAAGCTAGTCAGAGGACAGCAAGGAGCAGAACATCTAGTGAATAGGTTATATATAAATAATGATTTTATAAAAATAAAAAAAAAAAATTAAAATTAAAATTAAAATTCAGATTTTTGGCAGAGCACTCGGCTGCCTTTTCTCCCATGAAAGCTGCTGCCAAGGCATGCTAAGGCATGCATACATCTATACACTAAGCCTATCTTGTAGAGTCCCCAAACCAAAAGAAATATATATATATATATATATAAATAAATAAATAATTGCCTTCAAACTCCTACATATAGAACACTATTCACCCATTTTCATTTCCACGGCTGAGCAAAGAAAAAAAACAGAGAGAGAAAGAGTAGAAAAGAAAGGAAGAGGAGAGGGTGCTTGGTGGTCACTATTTCAAAACAAATTTTAAGAATAGTTTGTAAAAGCTCTTGAGGTAGGAATACTCAACCTCTATCCTCCCTTAGATATTTTCTTAACTGAATCTATATATTAAAAATATGCAAGACACATAGCAAGAATAGCTCAATGCATGTTTACATTTTGATAGAATGATAATCTTATGATTATATGATTTCTATCCTTCTTGTAAGCATAGATTAGATGGTTTAGCTATTGATTTTATCTTCTTATATGCTCAAATATTCTCCATTGTTTGAAATAATTTTGCATGGGGGTAAAATGAGATAGGGTGGGTTCATTTTTACTCAAAACTTATATTTTCTTCACTTTTTCAGATTTTATCGGAGGTAAAATGCTTTAATAAATTGAAAATAACTTGTGTCAAAAATCTGTTGGTACTGGGAGTATATATAGGTGTTCTATACATGTGTAAAGTTTTATAAAATCATTGGACACCATTTTCTTACCGAAATAAATATTTGTCCTAAGTGTTGTTCACAACACAGCAGAAACAGTGACTTCAAACGAGTCCCATTTTCTCTAAAATGGTGTTTTTCTGCACGGCTACTTGGGATAGTTAGATATAAGAGTTATCTTTCATTTGCCATTGATTTAAAAAAAAAATGGATAAGTCTAAAAGGAGAATTGTAGTTTTACTAAAATGCGACAGAATCTGCCCAGGTTTCTTATGAAAATTATTTGACCATCTTCCATTGGTTTTCAGTCTTCAAACTCTTCTGGAAAAATATTCTAAACTCAAATATCTAGCAATCCATTCTGACCATACCTCTTTTTGACACCGTTTGAGGCCCCTTTCTATTTTTCAAACACAGATTACCTGTGCTAGAAGTTACTATAACTTACGTCCCAGAAAAACTAGTTTTCTCCAAATTTTATTTATCAATTTTAAAATCATTTTTAGCCCTGGTATTCTTCTTAAAATATTTTCCTAACTCAATGAACTAGCACCGGTTAAAATATTGTAATGGTTGAACTTCGTTTGGTATGAGTTTCATATTTTTTTGTCTAACTATACAGTGCTGAAAGAAGAAGTGTGTGAATTCCTAAGAAATTTTGTGATGATTCCTAAGACATTCTATCATATTTATTTTGGTTGCCATACATGATTGTGTTGTGCTATATAAACATCATGTCACTGTGGTTTTCAAACTAAAACTCGCACATGCATCAAAATGTGAATTCAGCGAAGTAAAGAAACACGAAATTGAACCGATGATACATTAAAATTTAAAGTTGATGGGGTGAGCGCGGTTTAGAATCTTGCGCAAGTGAGTTGCGAACCCTCACATGTAACGGGATGGTATTTCGGCTCTTATCGGTGTAGGCCATATAAGGTTGGTGGTACGGGTGTCACAACATAGATCGTTCCCTTAGGGCAGACTGTAATGTCATGACTTGGGTATGTAACCCATTATTGGTAGTTACAGCAAGTAACATTTGAATATTTGACCAAGGGGGAGTCAGAATTGCCTATGGCCATTGCTTAGTGGTTGAGTGGAAATAGTACTCTGCGGGGAGTTACTTAAACTTACCTGATAAACTAAGCCTATATGGATTTAAAAGAAAAGTTGACATTTTCCTTATGATGAATTAGTGATTCCATTTGCTATTGTTTTTATTATCTATTGTTATTATTTCAACTAATAGCATTCATGTTATGCTTATTAAATACTACTTGTTATTCTGTTGCTGCATATTATTCATTAACTGTGAGTATTATTATCGGGGTGGGTATTTTCAGGGTTGTAGTATCTTATTGAGTTTGTCGTTCATTGGCATTCCCGTTGCCCTGGCATTTTATGCTAGGTACCGAAGAAATCGAAGGAAACATCGAAGCCTTGCAAGGCGACATTCAGCCTTGGTTAGCTTGAAGAGTGCCCAAGTTCCATGAAACATTTTTCTAAGTTTTCTATTTTTTCTTTAGTTTTCTTTTTTATATTTGTGTTATTTTTTTAATGTACTAAGACTAAGTTTTAAGTTTTATTGGAGTTGTAATTTAAGAATTTTTAATTTCTGGGTTGTTAATTAATGGATGCTGGTGAACTTGGTGGCAGCATTGATGAGGAGTTCTTATTTAAGAAAATTGATTTTAAGTTCTAAATCTTATTATGATGTCCTCAAATTTTGGGCCGTCACATCCAAAATTGATAAAATCCATCAACTACCCTCTTGCCGAGCAATACCCGCTTCAGCAAGGCATTCCAAAGTTCATAAAATCTATCAACAAACTTCTTGTCGAGCAAGATCTGCTTCGGTAAAGAATTCTAAAGTTGATAAAATCCATTAACTACCCTCTTACCGAGCAATACCTGCTTCGGCAAGGAATTCTAAAGTTGATAAAATCTATCAACAAACCTTTTGCCGAGCAAAATTTGCTTCGACAAAGAATTTCAAAGCTAAGCAAAACACCAACTTTCATCTTGCCGAGCAAAATCAGCCCAGCAATGAATTCTGATTTCTCCGTGAAAATGATCGTCAGTTACCCCTTGAGCCACTCTAAATCTGCTCGGCAAGGTAAAGATACAACATTTTTTAAGAAAATTGTCTACTTGTTTCATTACATCAATAGTGGAAAGAGTTACAAGAGTACAACTAAAAATAAAACTTTAAATTGGCAGTGTTCCACATTCTGGAATAGATCAGCCATTTATACCCTGCAAATTTTATATCCTTTTTTCTCAGCTTTCTTTCTGCCGTTCTTTTGACGGTTAACTTCTTATCCGACGGCATGAACTTTCCCTCCAACCTTTTTGTCCGTTAATGTAATAAACCCAATCCTTAATATGCTCTTAATCAATAATTAAGAATGTTAATTAAGAAGTTAAAATAAAATTATATGTTCATTGTGTGTTTTGTATGTTATTTGACTTTTTATCTGTTACTCATAGAAATATCTGTCTGAAATTATGTTTTGATCTGGAAATTGAAAGTCTTATTGGCATCCCAAATCGAAATTGGTTACATCAATATATTATTTGAAATTTTTAGAACACTTTGGCAAGTTTAATTAAAAATTGATTCAGTTTGATTAATTAAGTTGTGATTAATTGATTAAATGTTCTAATTGTTGTATTATGCCACGCATAGCTATATAAGAGAGCCTTAGGCTCATTTGTGAGCTGAACTTCACTATCTAAG